TCTTGGGCGCCTTCTAAGGGCAGCGACATCTGCCCCTCGAGATCAACCCCTGCCAACTGAATCGCACCGTCCCTCTCCAACACCTCTGGCTAGAACTCCATGTCCTCAGGCGCGTGGCCTCAGTCGAATACCCTGGCCCCCATGCCTCCTGCCTGCGGGCGAAGCTGCGTTCCACTCTTCCGCTCTGCGTTGCTTATGCCTTGCCGCGAAGCGAAGAGGTACCTTTCCTTCGGTCCTCTCCTTATTAAAGTGAGGCTGTTCTTGATCTTGCGCACCTGAACCCACTGGTTGTCCTTCCAGGCTGCCACTAATTCCTCAAGCAAGATTTGCTGATGATCTGCTGTTTACTGTCTTCGTAGTGATTGAAGCTGACGCGCGATCGCCGCGAGCTCGTCGTTGACCTCCGCGAAATCGCATGCTGCAGTGCCTTCTCCTTGCTATCGAAGTCGCCCTCGTCGCCGCTGCAGCTCCATGCGCCGCTCGCGTTGCCACGCGCACTCTGCCGATCTGCGATGGCCAGGGGAAGACTACTGCCGTGCCTTCGCGAATAGCTCCTCCGATGTAACCCAAACTGATTGGGCGGCGTGGCTGGCGTCGTCCCCCCACGGCTTACGCTGCACTGCTTGCAAGAGTTATCCTCGCCTCGTGCCGGCCGCCTGCGCCACCATCAGCGTGTCGCGGTTCACTGGAGGAGGCGGGATGGCGACGCTGTGGATGCTCGTGTTGGCGTTCAGCTTCACGTGCGCTGGCACGTGGTCCTCGAGCGTGGCGCATGTTTGACGGTGCCCCTCGTCGAAAAAAGTTGGTCCTGTCCTCCAGAACGCAGACGCAATAGTCATGTGCTCTTCCTCTGCAAACGTGCGCAACTGCGCGGGTACGTTCGTCTCGCGCGTAGCCTCCACAGTGCCCACATGCGCGTCCTCTGTTGTGTAGCAAATCTCCACCACGTCTCGCCGAATGCCATCTGAAAACTCCTGCCAATATCGGTGGCGTGTTGTGTCCTTCTCGTTCAAGCTGCCCGCCGATCCTTCGCGAAGTGCGCGTTGGTCTCTTTGACTATAACGGAACTTGTGCCCTTCGGTGGGAGGTACACTGGGAAATAAAAGGCAGATCTGCTGCCCGTGCACAAACAGCTTCACGCTGGTGGCACTCCCCATGATATCGTGTGATCTCGGTGGGGGGCACTGCTTGCTGCACTCCGTGTACATGTTGGCCAACACATAGAACTAACTCAGAACACTTACCAACGTACTTCGTGAGTTTCCATCCGAACTGTACCATATTGTGATCAGGCAATGATGCTTGCTGCGCGTCGTGTTCAACATCTGCATGGCGTCGTGCGCCTGTGACGATCATGATGTCCACGCTCCTACACTGCATGCCGATCTACTCTGATCGCGTGTAATCCGCGCTTTAGGCGGTGTAGTAGACGATCTTGAGCATCATCCTGGCGACACCTCATGTGCCTCCCCCTCGTCTGTGTACCTGCTTGCCCCTAGGCCGCCTTCGGCCCGAGGAACGCCATGTTCGCTCTGAAACAAAATGTGTGGGGATTGGTGGTGCTGTGGCTCCCTTGTCCTTCCAGGACGCCGAGGTGGCAGCTGGAGGAGGGGGAGGAGGAGGAGGAGGACGACGAGGAGGAGGAGGAGGAACAGGAGGAGGACGAGAAGGAGGAGAGGAGGAGGAGGAGGAGGAGGAGGAGGACGACGACGACGAGGAGGAGGAGGAGGAGAGAGGAGGAGGAGGGGAAGGGGAGGAAGGAGGAGGAGGAGGAGGAGGAGGAGGAGGGGGAGGAGGAAGGTCTTCCCGCCTGGACCTCCGATTTGGCAGGGAGGAATCGCCGCATGCGGCCCGATCCTGAGTGGACCCGCTTCGTGGCGCCCCTGCCCGCGGCCGAGGGCAGTGCCACACCCTAGAAGCCCGTGGCAGACCCCCCGGGAGGGGAAGAGTACAGTCAACATCTGTAGTGAAGACGCGCTGCAAGGACGCAAGACCCTTCGATGGTGGGTTTGTCTCCCACCGCCACCACTAAAAGTGAGAGGGGGAGGGGGTCCTCCTCCTTCTCCTCCTCCTCCTCCTCCTCCTCCTCCTCCTCCTCCTCCTCCTCCTCCTCCTCCCCTCCAATTTATGGTGGTGGTGGAAAACAGGCCCACCATTTGACGTTCCTTGGACGCCCCAGTTGAAGCTTTTTCTAGCGGCGTGCTGGCGAACAAATCTGAGGACGCAAAGGTGCCCTTGTGAAACTTGCCCGTCCTTACTATGGATGTTGACTGTCTGTCGCGGTGGTGTTCGAATGTTCCCCCTTCTTCGCCCCACCTCCCTCGTCTCCGCCTCCTCCTCCGATTCCGCCTGCTCTGACCGAGACCCAACGACGTAGGATCCTAGAGGATAAAGCCAAAGACCCGCCGCAGGTGCCACTTGCGACTAGCTCCGTGGGCCGCGAGCTGCTCAATCTGAATCCTGATCGGGGGAAGGCCTAATCTCGTCTAGCTGGTCTACATGGTCTGTACGCTAGCTGAAGCGTCCGCTCAAGGTAAGGACCCCGAGCGATCCGCCACAGCCGTCAGGTCGACAAACGCTGAGTCATCCGCAGCCGCCTCCTTGCTCCTCCCTCCTCCATCCCTCCTCATACCACCTCCTTGCTCCTCCCTCCTCATGGTCATCCCTTGCCATCCCTCCTCCTTCACCATCCTCCTTCTTTCCCTCCCCCTCTCCCCAGGAGGAGAACGGTGACGACGAGGAGAGGTGAACGGACCGAGGGCGGGGCTCCAGAACCACAACCTGCGCAATCGAATCAAACTTGCTGCTCAACTGCGACGGCCAGGAGAAAACTCCACGCTGTTAAATAAACGCCCCCCGTGCCACCCCGGCGGGCAGCCCGCACCGCCCCCCCTCTAACGATCCGTCCTCTCGCGCCCCGCGAGGGACGGCCCCATTCTTACACACCCACGCGATCCAACCCCGCGCTGATTGAACAACTCGGAATACGCATGATGAGGAGGATGTGGAAGGTGATGAGGTGGCGCCACTGGAGGTCATCGTCATAGCACCTCTGCACGCTTCGAGCTTTTAGGGACGTTCGCCTGGCGAAAGACCCGATCATGTGCAGTTGTGAGCACCGCAAAACAGGTGGGCCGAAGGAGGGGGAGCTCTCTATGGGGCCACGAACGAAACAGGCGATCAAAATGGGCGTGGTAGGGCATGCGAACTTTGCCATTTGGGCCCCCTCTGTGTGAGTTCCCATTGGGGCCTGTAATTCATGACAAACTCAGCTCAGGACTGCATGCGGATTTGTTCATGTTGGCCGTCTGTGGAGCTCCTATGGGGCTGACAAGCCTGGCAGGGGCGAGCGAGCAGAGCCCACGACTGCATGCGCATCGGCTCACTCTGGCAGTCTTTGGAGCTCATGTTGGGCTTGCAAGGTGTGGCAGGGGCGAGCGAAATGAGCCCACGACTACATGCGGTGCGTTCCATGTTAGTCTTCTGTGGAGACCCGATGGGGCTTGAAAAGCGTGAGTGGCAGGGGCGAGCGAAACGAGCCCACGACTGCATGCGGTGTGTTTCGTGTTGGCCTTCTGTGGAGCCCCTTATGGGATTCGAAAAGCGTGGAAAGAGCGAGCGAACTGAGACCACGACTGCATACGGACGTTCTCCTATCGGCCTTCTGTGGAGCACCTATGGGGTTTGAAAAGCGTAAGTGGCAGGGGCGAGCGAAACAAGCCCACGACTACATGCGGAGTTTTTCATGTCGACCTTCTGTGGAGCTCCTACGGAGCTTGACAAGCGTTGCGGGGGCGAGCGAAATGAGCCCACGACTGCATGCTGCTCGCACTGCCATCCGCAAAATACACAGCCCATCCAACAGCGACATCCATCTTCATGGCACACCCCCACTTTGCCGCGCCACCCATGCCTGCACGTCGCACTGCAAACAGCAAGTGGACAGCTTGTCGTCAGCTCTGTTGCAGATTTCTGTGAAAAGCAGCAGCAGACATTCGATGACCTGTTTACTGTCAGTAAAGCACACCAGCCTTGCATCCACAGGCCAGCCGTACTGCACAGCCCAATGTATGTGGTGAAGGTCAGGTTGAATGTATGAGTCTGGTGTCCGTTCCTTCGGTGACTTTCTCCACTTGCACTCCACAAACTTTAGCCTCACATTCACAAGCTACCCAGGGTGCCCCCGTGGCAACACGACACGAAACAGCGTACCCTTAATTCGCCTGCCGGGTACGCATACTGCTGCCCTCCATCATACTTTCAATGGCATTGTCCACTCCATTCCTTGCTTACTGATACGCCCTTTGCCGTCTCACAATCTCCTCCACTACTGTCGTAGCCCCTTCTTCCCTGTGGCAGATACGCGGCGCCCCCTCGCATCTACGGTCGGGAACGCTCGCTTCGCCTGCCACTGTCGCGGCGCCGGCCCCCCGGCACGCCGTGCCTCGCAAGCGGGCAGCGTGCCGCTCCGCTCCGCGGGGCGTGAGGCCAGGAATCGGCGGCGCGCACACGGGGAGCCTCCCGGGCGGCGTGTCAAGGAAGACTGGCGGCGCGCACACGGGGATGGGAGGGAGGGGAGGCGGCTTCCGAGGAGGAGGCTGCTTCTCCGAAGGCGCCGGCCTCACGTCTACATGCAAGGCCCGGGCCTCCCGAGAAGCAGGGGTGCTTCTGAGAAGCCTCCCGCCCTCCCCCATAGTTTGTGTGACCGAACAGGGGGTCCAGCTGAAAGGGGGTGGTGCAATAGATTTGGGGCAATTGGATTGCACATGTATTGCGCCGGAGACTTGTATTGCATTGTATTGCAAGTAACGTATTGCACGCGATCATACAGCAGTACATCTGCGTCCCGAACTGCATTGCACGCCCCAGATGTACTGCAACCCCCCAAAATTTCTTGCACCAAGTCTATTGCACAAGCCCCTTGTCGCTGGACCCCCTGTTGGGTCAACCCGACATGCCCCCCCTCTGCGCGTGGCCAGCGATCGGCGGCGACCCCGCGCCTGGAACAGCGCGTGCGCGGAGCGCACGGCTTTCAGCGGCACGCCCAGCGACTCTGCGACCTCGGGCCCGCGGGGTCCGCCGCTCGCTCCCCGCCGTGGGCGGCACCGGCTGGCTCCAGGAGCCCCTCTGGAGGCCCTCGGGGGCTCTCGGACTGTCCTCGGGAGGTCCTCGGCGGCCCACGGGAAGAGCCCCAATCCAGCGTGCCAGAGGCCCCCGAGGAGGCACAAGAATCCCCGGGCCCCGAGGCTGGGCAGGAGGCCCCCCCGCTGCCTTGTCTCGGCGGCGCTGAAGTGCTTCCCCCAGTGTCAGGAGGTTTCCGGGAGGTCTTCGGAGGCCGTCGGCGTCGACGTCGGCGTTGTCGCCGTGGTCTTCATCGCTGTCCCTCCTCGCTGCCTCGCCGGCCCCCCTCCCCCGTCGTCATCAAGGGGGGCAGGGAGGGGGAGCATGGGGAGAACGATGACCCACAATGCGAGGCGTTGCGAACAAGATCAAATAGCTCATACAGCTGTGCATTTTTCCCTACCTAGGCTCTGCCTCGAAGGGTTCTTACTCTATGTGCCTAAAGGGCCGGGCAATGTTCCTCGCCCTGGGCGGTTCCCCCGGCATCCGCCCCGCGGTTCCCCCAGTTACGTCCCCTTAGCTTAGCGTTGCTTATCTCATCTTAGCTTAGCTTATTTCATTCCCTACTTAGGCTCTGCCTAGAAGGGTTCTTACCCTGTGTGCTTAAAGGGACGGGCAGTGGGCTTCGCCCTGGGCGGTTCCCCGGCATCCGCCCCGCGGTTCCCCCAGTTACGTGCCCTTAGCTTAACGTTGTTGATCTCATCTTGGCTTAGCTTCTTTCATCTTAGCTTGGCTTAGCTTTATCTTAGCTCAGGTTTATCTTAGCTTAGCTTACCTTCAGTTTCCCTGCCTAGGCTATGCCTAGAAGGGTTCTTACTCTATGTGCTTAAAGGGGCCGGGCAGTGGGGCTCGCCCCGGGCGGTTCCCCCGGCATCCGAGCCGCGGTTCCCCCAGCTACGTCCCCTTAGCTTAGCGTTGCTTATCTCATCTTAGCTTAGCTTATTTCATCCTAGTTTAGCCTAGCTTCATCTTAGCTCAGGCTTATCTTAGCTTAGCTTACATTCATCTTAGTTTCGCTGAGTTTTAGCATAGCAGAGCACAGCATAGCATAGCATAGCGTAGCATTGCATAGCATAGCATAGCATAGCGCAGCACAGCACAGCACAGCATAGCACAGCGCAGCATAGCACAGCATAGCAAAAGCGAAAGCAAAGGCAAGGCAATGCAAAGCAAAACAACAAAATCTATGCGAAAGTGTAAATGTAGATGTAGGTGTAGGTGTAGATGTAGATGAAGATGTAGGTGTAGATGTAGGTGTAGATGTAGAAGTAGATGTGAGTCTCGCTGTTGATGTTGATGTAGATGTAGATGCAGGTGTAGATGTTAACGTAGCTGTCGGTGTAGATGTAGATGTTGCTTTCCTAGATGCTCCAACTCCTAGGTAGGGTCGCACTGGGATAATGCATATATGATTTAAAATCTAGAGCGTCTTTGCGCCCCCCCCCTGGATCGCTGCGAGGACGGCGCGAGGACGCCGCCAGGAATGCACAACGCATTGGCTGGAACTGCGCCAGGACTGCCTGCGCAAGGGCTGGGCTAGGATTGGGGACCTGCGGGAATGTAGCCTTTCACCATACGACAGAAAACGGCCCGCGGCGCAAAACAAGCCCCAGGGACTGAGTCGGGGCGTCCCGTGCCAGCCTCCCGCGCCCCCCCCTGGCCCTGCTGCGGAGCGACTTCTGGCGAAGACCTTTCGAGGCGAATCCAGCTGTGGAGATGGGTGTCCCCTCCAAGCACGCCAACAGGTAAGATGTCGAGCAGCAGCCTGTATAGAACATAATGTGGAGGACAAGTCATGAGCCTCCCTCCATCCCCTGCCTCCGCCCTCCTCTTCCCCCTCCTCCTCTTCTTCCTCCTCGTCCTCCTCCTCCCTCCCTCCCTCCCTCCTTTCCCTCCCCTCCCTCCATCCTCTCCCGCCCTCCCTGTCCTCCTCCCCCCCTACTCCCGATGCTCTGGCGTCCCGACATTTTCCCCTACGTGGGCCAGTCCTGCACACCTCGACCCACACATCCGCACAGACTTCGCGACGTGGACCAACTGTGTACTTCGGCACATGTCAGTGAAGCCTGGCGCCCAGACGGCGCATTGCCAGATAAAAAGTTACGCGTGCTGCATTGTCGGAAGAGGGGGAGGAGCAGGAAGGGGGGGGAGGGGAAAGGCCCTGGGGCGCCTGAAACGCTCCAAGACGCCAAGAAAGTCGCGCCCCCCCCCTCTCAGACTCGTCCCCGGACCTGTCCTGCAGCGCGCTCTGGCGAAGCTCTCGGAGAGGATGTGGCTATGGCGAGGCGAGGCCCTCCCGGGAGGCCAAGCCCTGCTCTTGACAAGGACGCCAGCCTCCGGGAGGGCGGGGCACGACTGGCCCCTCGCGCAGCCGTTTGGGGAAAGTCTCGGCACCCAGGAAGGCCCTGGACGAGGCGCAGCTGATGGAAGGCACCTTGGTGGGCTTGTTTTCCACCGACACCACCATAAGCAGGAGGGGGAGGGGGTCCTCCTCTTCCTCTTCCTTCCTCCTCCTCCTCCCAATCCTCCACCTCCGTCCCCCCTCCAACTTATGGTGGTGGTGGAATCCAAGCCTATCACACCTGGCCCCCCCGCCCAAAATTATCCTGGCGAAGGACCCAACCATATGCAAGAGGTGAGGGGTGGGGTGGGGTGAGGGGGGGTGGGGGGGTGGGGGGGTGGGGGGGGTGGGGGGTGGGGGGGGGGGGGGGGGGGGGGAGGGTGCGGGGGGCGGAGGGGTGGGGGGGGGGGGGGGGGGGGGGGGGGGAGGGGAGGGGGGGGCGAGGGGGGGGGGAGGGGGGGGGAGGTGGGGTGGGGGGGGGGGGGGGGGGGGGGGGGGGCGGAGGGGGGGGGGGGGGGGGGGAGGGGGGGGGGGGGGGGGGGGGGGGGGGGGGGGGGGGGGGGGGGGGGGGTCTCGTGGGGGGAGGGGTGGGGTGGGGGGGGGGGGGGGGGGGGGGGGGGGGGGGGGGGGGGTGGGGGGGGGGGTGGGCGTGGGGGAGCGGGGGGCGGGGGGGGGGGGGGGGGTGGGGGGGGGAGGGGGGGGGGGGGGGGTTGGGGGGGGGGGGAGGAGGAGGGGGGGGTGGGGGGGGGAGGGGGGGGGGGGGGGGGGGGGGGAATACCGCAGGGCAGGTGGGACGAAGCAAAAAGAATTCCCAATGTGGCCACGAACCGTGTGAGGGGTGCGCCAAACTGGGGCGGGGCCGCCATGCGAACCCTGCCACTGAGGCCTTCGGTGGAGCTCCCTATGTCCCTGCGGGGCCACGAACCGTGTGAGGGGTGCGCCAATATGGGGCGGGGCCGCCATGCGAACCCTGCCACTGGGGCCTTCGGTGGAGCTCACTATGGGGTCACGAACCGTGTGAGGGGTGCGCCACAATGAGGCGGGGCCGCCATGCGAACCCTGCCCCTGGGGCCTTCGGTGGAACGCCCTATGGGGCCACGAACCGTGTGAGGGGTGCGCCAAAATGAGGCGGGGCCGCCATGCGAACCCTGCCACTGGGGCCTTCGGTGGAACCCCCTATGGGGCGACGAACCGTGTGAGGGGTGCGCGAAAATGAGGCGGGGCCGCCATGCGAACCCTGCCACTGGGGCCTTCGGTGGAGTTCCCTATGGGGCCACGAACCGTGTGAAAGGTGCGCCAAAATGGTGCGGGGCCGTCATGCGAACGCTGCCACTGGGGCCTTCGGTGGAGTTCCCTGTGGGGCCACGAACCGTGTGAGGGGTGCGCCAAAATGGGCGGGGCCGCCATGCGAACCCTGCCACTGGGGCCTTCGGTGGAGCTCCCTATGGGGCCACGAACCGTGTGAGGGGTGCGCCACGATGAGGCGGGGCCGCCATGCGAACCCTGCCACTGGGGCCTTCGGTGGAGCTCCCTATGGGGCCACGATCCGTGTGAGGGGTGCGCCAAAATGAGGCGGGGCCGCCATGCGAACCCCGCCACTGGGGCCTTCGGTGGAGCTCCCTATGGGGCCACGAACCGTGTGAGGGGTGCGCCAAAATGTGGCGGGGCCGCCATGCGAACCCTGCCACTGGGGCCTTCGGTGGAGCTCCCTATGGGGCCACGAACCGTGTGAGGGGTGCGCCAAAATGGGGCGGGGCCGCCATGCGGACCCTGCCACTGGGGCCTTCGGTGGAGCTCCCTATGGGGCCACGCACCGTGTGAGGGGTGCGCCAAAATGCGGGGCCGCCATGCGGACCCTGCTACTGGGGCCTTCGGTGGAGCTCCCTATGGGGCCACGAACCGTGTGAGGGGTGCGCCAAAATGGGGCGGGGCCGCCATGCGAACCCTGCCACTGGGGCCTTCGGTGGAGCTCCCTATGGGGCCACGAACCGTGTGAGGGTTGCGCCAAAATGGGGCGGGGCCGCCATGCGAACCCTGCCACTGGGGCCTTCGGTGGAGCTCCCTATGGGGCCACGAACCGTGTGAGGGGTGCGCCAAAATGAGACGGGGCCGCCATGCGAACCCTGCCACTGGGGGCTTCGGTGGAGCTCCCTATGGGGCCACGAACCGTGTGATGGGTGTGCCGAAATAGAGGCATGCGGAGGGTGATGGTGATGATGACGACCATGTTGGTGCTGATGATGATGACGATGACGATGACGATGATGATGGCGATGACGATGATGATGATGATGAGAGGGAGGAGGGAGGAGGGAGGAGGAGGAGGAGGGGGGGAGGAGAAGAGGAGTGAGGACGCGGGCGCTGTCTCTTCAAAACGAGGACCCAACACCACAGGATGGTTGGGAAAAAATATCCTGGCGAAGGACCCAAGCATATTCAGTTGTGAGTAACGCATTGTGGGTGCCGTTATCGGTGGGACACGACACGCGTGAGGGGCGCGCCGTAATGGGTGTGAAGGACGCGTGCGGGCACCCCCACTGGGGCCGTCGGTTGAGCTCCCTATGGGGCCACGAAACGCTGTGCTGGGTGTGGCGGACG